GTTAAAAACCTTGAGTAGAGCAGTTTCAGTGCTGTGGAGAGGTTTAAAGCCAGACTGGAATAGCTCTAAGATGGCATTATCCTCTAGAAAGCATTTCAGCTGGGACTCCACTATTTTTTCCAGCAGTTTAGCGACAAATGGGAGTCTGGAGACAGGCCGGAAGTTGGACATGACTGAGGGGTCAAGGCTAGGTTTTTTCAGGAGAGGTTGGACAGCAGCATGTTTAAAAGTTATTGGCACCACACCTGAGGCTAAGCTGCTGTTCACAATGCCAAGAACAGGAGGGCCCAGAGCAGGAAGAAGCTCCTTAAGGAGTCGAGGGGGGACAACGTCAAAAGGGGAGCCAGATGGCTTCATGCCACACATGACCTGCTCCAGGGAAGACAGAGAGACGAATGGTGATTTTAAACAAATCAACTTGGATCCTTCTCTTAAACATAGATATTGATCTGGTATTTTTAACATCACTCTCCAGATTATTCCATAATCTAATTCCTTGGATTGAAGTAGACCTTCCCTTCAAACTAGTTCTAAATGTAGGTTTCACAAATATCTCTATCCCCTTAAGATTATAACAACTCTCTTTTTGAACTAAATTTAATCGGTCATTTAAAGGTAATGTGTTATTATTATTAAAGTGATGTATAATGTGTGTGTGTGTGTGTGTGTGTGTGCAGGTAATGTCTGACGCTCTTTGAACTGTCTTCTTGTTCACTGTAAATCCAGTCATTGTGTAGTTAGTGCTCTGAAGCTTCTCATGTGACGCAGTAACTGTGGTGAACAGAAGAAGAACGCCACGTCTGTGGAAACGGACCATAATGCATTGCAGCCTGAGCCAACAATGCAAGCTAATCCAGGCTAATGCTAACATCCACAACTCATAATTGTGATTTTCAGACTTGTTGAACATGAAGAAAAACGTTTAGACGTCTCTAACATGAAGTGTCTCGTCTCCTCCTCCGTCTGAGCTGCGGAGCTCCAGAAACACGTTGAAGTTACTTAATAGTTTTAATACGTTTAAGGTTCTGACTTCGTTATAGCTGCGATCCATCCATCCATCCTTCATCCATCCATCCTTCATCCATCCATTCATCATCCATTCATCCTTCATCCATCCATTTGTCATCCATCCATCATCCATGCATCATCCATCCATCCATCATCCATGCATCATCCACCCATCCATCATTCATCCATCCATCCATCCATCCATCCATCCATCCATGCATCATTCATCCATCCCGCTTCTTCCTTTTTGGGTCACGAAAATCAATCACTGTGTGAGATGTGGGGGACACCCTGGACAGGTCTTCAGTCCATCACAGGGACACATGGAGACAAACAACCATTCACTCTCTCACCTAGGGATAATTTAGAGTTACCAATCAGACTAACATGCATGTTTTTGGTCTGTGGGAGGAAACTGGAGTACCTGGAGAAAACCCACGCATGCACGGAGAGAACATGCAAACTCCACCCAGAAAGGCCCCTGGCCGGGATTTGAACCAGGCGACCTTCTCGCTGAGAGGCAGCAGCTAAACCAACTGCACCACCGTGCTGCCTGTTATGAAGACAGATCATTTTAAATACATTTTGTTGTATCGTATTTGTTGTCCATCACTTCAGATTCAGGTGTTTATTCCAGCGCTGGTGCCCCACCTGACCGTGAATACTCAGAACATAATGATGAATTACGCTGCCTTCAAGTTGAGTTGGAAATTCAGGAACACCACAGTTCCATTTATTCCTTATCTACTTCCCTACAGTGACCGTGATGAAGTGAGTGAATGAGTGAACATTTCCAACACAGTCCAAGTTTGATGCTCCCCACAATATAAAGTCCTTTTATTTATTCACTATGTATTAAATGTTGACGTCCATGTGGAATAAAGTCTGACAGAAACTCACCTTGACCCGACTCATACTGGTTCACAGTCAGCTGATCTGGCATGACGTTGATGTGTCCATTCTTTAAACATCGCTCCAAAACAGGCAAACATTCATCAGGAAGACCTGAACACAAACACGCGTCACTATTAGGGTGTTACCTTTACCAGTGTATATATAAAAGACCCAGTGAAACCCAACAAAGTTCAGTCAGGTCATCTGGACGGTTTCTTTTTTGTTGTTGTTGTCGAGATGTTTCGTCCTGCATCCAAAGGACTTCATCAGTCCAAGGGGCCACAACAAACTTAACCCCACAAGCAGCACAGTCACATAGTGGATCAACCAGTTTGCTGGTGACAAGATGGTTTCGGGGGCCTGCCCTCTCCCCCGTCGACTCCTCTGAGGCAGCCATAGCCAAAGTGGTTCAAAACATCAAAGTTCATGTTCGATAATCCAGGTAAAAAAAAAAACAACAAAGTTCAGTCAGGTCATCTGGACGATATCTTTTTTGTTGCCGAGTCGTTTCATCGTTCATCCAAAGGACTTCCTTCAGTCCAAGGAATCAGACTGAACTTTGTTGGATTTTCTACCTGGATTACTGAGCATGAACTTCAAAGATCCAGTGAAAGATGCAACAAACAAACAACACAGAACCCCAGGAATCTCTGATCTGCATCATCTAATATAATCTTATCTTAGATATGATATTCAGACCTAAGAGTCCTGAGATTAAAGGAGTTCACCTGCAGGTAACGGCTTGTTCTTGTCCACGTTGTTGTTGTCGTAGCGAAATTCAAAACCGTAATGTTTGACTCTTCTGTGCTTCAACGCTTTTTGAGCTGCAAAAATGACACAATCAAGTAGCAAAGAAACATTCACTCACCATTTTAACTGAAACTAACGAAAATGTTCTTATTCAGAATAAACTAAATACGTTGATATGTTTGAAGATTTTCTAATGGAAAAGCACAAAATTATTTTAATAAGTGTAAACGTTGGATTTGGGAAAACTCAGTTTTAAAGAGGATTTGATCTAAATAAACAACAAAAGATCACCAGCATTACAACTAACACAAAGAACCTAATAAGACCTTCACCTGCCAGATCTCCCTCAGTGGACGACCAGTCGACGGCAGCCAGCAGCTGAGCCTCTTCCTCTGGAGACACAAAATCCTCCACCAACGCTAATCCTTCTGGCAATGACACCAACGCTTCTTCCTGATGCTTTACTGTACACAAATACATGTCACACATAAAATAAAGGCAAGTCACAATGACTGTAGAGCATTTACAAAATATTTTGTGATGAGTGTTAAATTCTAAGCAATGTACTTGAGTCGACATAACTGAGGTAGAGCGTGACGCTGCTCTCTCCACACTGCAACTTTTGCCCATTCAGCAGGGTGTGAGCTTTCCGAGCATCGTCTTCAGCTCTGGAAAGAGAATGATACAAGCTGTATGTATGAAAATAATGTTTATGTCCAACAATGTCTCCTGCAGTTCTAACGGGACAGCCGTGAACTACAAGTAATCCAACGAGCACTTTAGATCTGCATTTTGTAGTAGCATTTGTACTTGTATAATGATTCTATTGGTTCAAATACTTTTACTCTTTTTCCAGAAATGGGAAATGGCTGCCGCTCTGCTGCAGCTGACCCTCTATTTATAGACCCCGTGTGAACAAGTCGAAGAAATGCAAGCACATCTCACGACAGTGAGCAAACAGAGTCAGGCAAAAACATCCCAAATCTCACCCCAAGAAAAAATCCTCTCAGAGGATCCTCTCGTGACTCTGGTGCTGTCAACATTTTCAAATGTTTTATAAAGGAATAGAGACAGACATGTGTATGTGGTAAATGGGCTGTACTTATATAGCCTTATCTAATCAAGATACTCAAAGAACTTTACAACACTGTGTCCTCACTTCATACTACTACATCTCTACAAAGATAATAGAACAGATCGTTCTACAGACTCATCAGTGTGTGTTTAGATCACATTCACACACCAATGGGACACATATCAGAGGGATTCAGTGTCTTCCCAGGGACAATTCAACATGTGACTGCTGCTGGAATCGAACCCCCAACTCTCCCATTGGAGGACCACTGCTCTGACCACTCAGCTACAGCTGCCCAATCCATCCGTCCATTATTTTTACTTGTTTCTTCCTGTTCAGGTCATGGGGGTCACTGGTGCCCATATCCAGCAGTCACTGTGCAAGAGATGGGGGACACCCTGGACAGGTCTCCAGTCCATCACAGGGACACATAGAGACAAACGAGACAAACAACCATTCACTCTCTCACTCACACCTAGAGACAATTTAGAGTCACCAATCAGTCTAACATGCATGTTTTTGGTCTGTGGGAGGAAACCGGAGTACCCGGAGAAAACCCACACATGCACACAGAGAACGTGCAAACCACCCAGAAAGGCCCCAGCTGGGATTTAGTCTGATGACCTTCTTGCTGAAAGACAACAGCTCTACCAACTGAGCCACCGTGCCACTCTGTCTATACTGTACATATGCATAAAGCCTCTTGACAATATGAACTTAATGGCTTTTGTGCCTAGTTTTGTGGTCGTCCAACTTCTGGTGTTAAGTAACTGCTGGCTCAGAAATCATTCCTGCTTCTCTAAAGTAATACGTTTAGTTCTACCTGTATGTGACAAAAGCGTACGGCTTGTGGGGCGGCATAACCAAGCTCTCCAGCTCTCCAGTCGCTTTCAGGGCTGTAGAGAGATCCTCACGACTGACACCATTTCCCAGCCCACCATTTGTCACCACCAGACTCTGCAGATGAGACACAAAGAGCTTTGAGAAACAAAAAAATCAATCAATAGACCCTGACATAAACGTTTTATTGGATATTTAGATTACACACACCGTAAACTTGGCAGATTAATGCACACTTCTATGTTTTTCACAATTGTATTTTCATTTTTTACACAATTTAAACCCAATATAATTCACATTTTCATACTTGTATGGGTTAATCACGTCTACTAATAGTTGAATACTAATTTTAGATGTAACTACATCATTCAATCAAAGATTTAAAAATTTGTCCTACACTCTTACACATTTAAAACAAGGTCTTGTGAATATTCACATTTTTAAAACTAATTTTTATTTTATTAAAAAAAATATATACAACCTATTTTTTGTGTACGTACACTGTTATCATTTCAGTATTTCAGTAATGAATTTCTGGGACTCGGTGTTTTTCGTTAACTTCCGGTTGTATTTACATGAAGTTTGAACGGTGTTTCCGGTTTACCTTGGTAGGCTGCGGTGCTATGCTGAAGCCTTCATGCTTTAATAAGGTGTGACTGGCTTTGAGCTGTTTCCTTAACACTTTCTTCTCCTCTTTACTCTTTTTGACGATATTCACGTTTCTTTCCATGTTGTTAGTTCGTCTCCCTAAACTGTCCGGCTGCAACACATGCCGAAAATATTTGGTTCCGAAGCGACGAAAACTTCAACCAAGTCATTTTTTAACTTTCTCCAGATAAATAAAATTAGTTTAAAGCGCATAAACCTACTTTCAAGTAAAAATGAAGATAACACAACTCATTATAAAGTTTTCTGTAAAAACTGCATACAATAACGTTACATTACAAAATAAAAGACGTGTAATGTATTTTTTTTTACTGTGTGTTTATTTCTTCTGTACAGCCCTTCGGTTGGCCTTGTTGCTGTCTTAAGTGCTCTATAAATAAAGTGGTATGGTATGGGTATCGTATCAGTGTTTTTCCACGTTAAAACTAGAAAAGACCAGCTCTTAATGACGAGGGAAACAAAAAGGCGTACATGCCCCTTTTAATAAAATGTATATGCTCAAGAACCATGCAGACTCTCATGAGTCCTTTATATATTTGTGGAAATATCACACATAGGCCTATTCCCTTTTCAAATAATAAAAATGTATCCCCAAAAAATGTCTTGAGTGAACAAAAAAACTGAGACAGTTTGTTGATTACTGGATTTCTTTTATTAATGATGGAGTTAACTTCAATTTTTGTTAAAACTTTATGATGAGCCTTTAATAATTAATTGTCATTCTTAGAACAATTTATCATATTTTTTCAGAAGTGTTTCATTTTGTTCCCTCAGTAATCATGTGTTCAAAATTGTACATTCTGTTATGAACGTGTTGAGGAAAATTAATTTCTAGGGAATTACAATGAAAGCTTGCACTTTTGTGGTTATTTATATTAGGTAAGAAGTTTAATTCCCATGCCATTTTAGGGCAAAGCTACAAAGAGCCATCGCAAAACTAACGAGCCGCATGTGGTTTAATTGAACTGGCCAATCAGGACAAGGGCCTGCAGAGACTCGGGTAGGTCCTGCTTTGGACACCCAAAAAAAAGAAAAAGAAAAGCTAAATAAGACATTTTTAAAAATGGAAGAATAAGACTTGAGGAGCTTCAAAATTAAGTCAAGTAGACAAAATTATAACAGTGATCCCAAATCAAAGTAAAGTACCATGTGACAAATGAGGCGCCAAACAATAAAAAAAAAAGGAAATCCTCACCAGAAAGCAGATTAGCAGCAAATGCTATAAAGCATCAAAATTGTGCATGAAAAACAAAGTGGACCATAACTCAAAATAGTGGGATGCAAAAACAAAATGACAAAAGGGGCAGAAAACAAATTCAAAACATAAACACCTAGCACCTCATGAAGGAATGCATATCGTCCAGAGTTTTACACTAAGATGAGAAACAGTGGTGTTGCAAATGATTTGGTCAATCCGTGAAAATAACACTCTGTGTGATATGCGATATGACTTACATGCTGGGAATGACTCTCAGCTACTACCGCAGCTTTTTAGCTCAGTATCTGTTAATCTAATTCGAAACCAGCCACTAGGGAGCACAAGCCAGTGTATCTCTTGTGCCAGTCCCAAGCCCGGGTAACTGGTGAGGGTTGTGTCAGGAAGGGCATGTGACGTAAACACTTTCGCCAAAACTATAATGCGAGTTCGTAATGGTGGAAGCTGAAGAAGGAAGAATGTTGTGAGAAATTCAGAGAGGAGCTGTTAAAGGCTCTGGGTCATAAGAAAGAGCTTCCAGATGACTGGACTACTACAGCAACAGTAATTAGAGAAATAGGTAGGAAGGTACTTGGTGTGTCATCTGGACAGAGAATGGATGATAAGGAAACCTGGTGGTGGAATGGTGAAGTGCAGGACGCTGTTCAAAGAAAGAGATTAGCCAAGAAGAAATATGACAGTGGGAGGACTAAAGAGAGGAGACAGGAATTATGGAGATGCACTGTAGAGCAAAGGGGGAGGTAGTTAAGGCAAAGCAGAGGGTGTATGATGAGTTGTATGGGAGACTGGACACTAAAGAGGGCGAGAAGGACTTGTACTGATTGGGAAGACAGAGGGATCAGGCTGGAAAGGATGTGCAGCAGGTTAGGCGTGTTAATGATGGGAATGGTAATGTTCTAACAAGTGAGGAGAGTGTGATGAGAAGATGGAAGGAGTACTTTGAGGAGCTAATGAATGAAGAGAATAAAAGAGAAAGAAGAGTAGAGGTCAAAGAAACTGTGGACCAGGAAGTTGGAAAGATTGGTGAAGGCTGAGTTGCATTAGAGCCCAAAAAATTCAATCCAACCCAGCCCCAGCCCATAGCCATCATTTCTGAACACCACCCGACCTGATGAATTAACATTAATTACAGGTCCAAACCCGAACCCCCACTAACATTAAAAAAATTTTAATTAAGCTTTGACTGCTTATATAGTTAGTAACGGTCAGTGGACGCACGCGGCTAAATAAAAGGGCAGGAGATCAGAGCTGAGGGGGTGTTTGTTCTTTCATGGCCGTGAAAGTGTATTAAAGAAATCAGGTCTCTCTTGTAAATGAGTCCCCGAGGCTCAGTGGGATTAACCTGTCTAAATAAAGGTTGAATGAATGGAAAAAAAATCCCTGCTTCTGCCTGGATTCTGCATTACGCAGACACGGACCCTGCTCTACATGCCTGCTTTGGGATCTCACCTGTTTGGGTCGTCAGCCGCGCGTGCCCGCTGAGTGCAGCTGGTGTTTGTACGGCAAGCCATGTTGCCATACACTTGGATCGTGGCTGATCCACTGACACAATCAAAAGCAAACACCGACCCAGCCCGCCCATCCAGCACATTATTATGGCCCGGCCCAGCCCGCCCATCCAGCACATTATTATGGCCCGGCCCAGCCCAAATTTGGATCGGGCCAGGCTGGGCTTCGGGCCCAAGTTAGAAATGACAGCTCCAGTGAGGGTGAAGTCCAGAAAACTCTGAAAAGCATGAAGAAGGGGAAGGTAGTAGGACCTGATAACATACCAGTGGAAGTTTGCAAATGTCTTGGAGAGATGGCAGTGAGGTTTTTGACTCAAATATTCAACAACATATTTGAGGGTGAGAAAATGCCTGAGGAATGGAGAAGTGTACTGGTGCCCATTTTTAAGAACATGGGTGATGCACAGAGCAACTACAGATAAGTTAAGTTGATGAGTCACGTGATGAAGATCTGGGAGAGAGTTGTGGAAGCAAGAATTAGACGAGAGGTGACATTTTGTGAGCAGCAGTATGGTTTCATGCTGAGAAAGAGCTCCACAGACGCCATCTTTGCTTTGAGGATGCTGATGGAGAAGTACAGATGGTCAGAAAGAACTCCATTGTGTCTTTGTGGATTTAGAAACAGCATGACAAAAACTCTAAACACTCTAAAAGAGCACCGAATGTCATGATTTCAGCTCTCTGCCCACGCTGCACTCATCCACCTGCAAGCACTCTTGGCCACACCCACTTCTCCACTCTGCACCTGAACAGCTGATCAGCTGCAGCAGGAAGTTTATCCTGCAGTGTGGCCTGCACAGAGGTGAAGGAGGAAGCTTTTTCTGCAGCTCTGGGCTGCACAAATGTGCAGCAGGTTCTGAATAATTTAAAATAATTCATTTTAAATAAAAATGTCATGCCGATCGTGAGGTTCATCTATCAATAAGCCAATTGTGTGTCATGACCACTCTTATTTTGAAAAACCGCGATAGAGCGAGTCCGCGATAAACGAACTGCGAAGTAGCGAGGGACTAATGTATATGTATTGTGTAACCATGTACAGTATGTATATAATGTGAGTATGTGTAAGTATGTACATGCATATTTAAATATTCGGTAAATGTGTGTATGTGTACTTATGTATGTGTATGGACAGTAGATATCTGCCATTATGTGGACTGATGAGTCTATGAACAGGGTAAGCAAGTAAATGATTGATTTACCATTTTATATTGTTTTCCTTTTTTTAAATAATGTTTTTAATTTACCAAAATAAAGTTGAGTTGAGCTGAATATTGAGCTTATGCTTCACTTTCAACAAACACAAGAAGATCTTCTCTGACCAGACGCCAGCAGTCGCTGATGTGATTCTTTTGAAGGAGGTTTGTTTCCTCCCTTAGTGAGGACACACTGCCTCAGATCCAAACTCCTCCCCGCTTCCTCTGTGCATGCGTGAGGAGTGTGTTCCAGCTCGTGTCTTTCTTCTTGTGAGCATTTGTCCGTGCCTGTGTGCCAGCACATTAATAGCTGTGTTTGTTGTGTAATTGAGCCCTCACCTGTCCTCAGCCGTCTCATGAGCCGGGCCGAGCTGCAGGCCAGCAGGAAGCCTCACCGGCCTCCGTGCACTCTACAAAACAACAGCTGCTCAGACAGGAGACGGCACAGATCCCCTCTGGAACAGAAAAACAATACTCTGGGTCTTTGTTTTTAATGTTTAGATTAGTAGCATTTTGTCTTGATTTGTTGCAGTGGACCATGTTATTTATCCTAACTGGAGGAGTCATTCAGCCTCGTTAACTCAACGTTCACAGTCTGATCATTCTTTTAGATAAAGAAAGAATAAAAACCCTACAGCATCATTTCACAGCCCAACGTGCAGAAGAAATGTCAGAATTCAGGTCTATTGTTATGTTGTGGTGGCTACTCAAGGTTGAGATGGTGTTTTATTCATATTTTGAAGAAAGAACGCTTTTGCCACGAACGCAACTGACTGGAAGCTCTCGTTGGATTTCTCACGGGTCTTATCAGACCTTTGAAGGCGTCAGACTCGTTTTGTTCAGTAGTGCTGTAGGTTGGTGAAACAAGCTTTCACTTAGTGACACATGTATGAAATTGTGCATTATTAACAGGAATGCACAGTATTATCAACATGGTATCGGTCGATTTTATCTATAAAGTTAAATATCAAACATCGGCCATTCCATCAAAATAACTCACCGATATAAAAGGTGCTGTTTATATTTCTGTTTTTGTATGACAACCCAGGGACAAGGACGCTTGCAGCGCCAGCACAACGTCATGACGTCATGCACAGCGTTGAGTTTAGATTTGTGAACATTTACACATTTGCACTGTTCGAATGTTGTCATTGT